CACCGCTCCTAAGGACACCGCCTGGAAATTAGGGCCACCTCTCCCCTTGCCAGAAGGTGGGGGGACCGGGAGCGTGTCCCTGGATACCATGCTCTTTATTAGGACCACACAGGGCAGGGGCCTACCCTTAGAGAGCCTGCCTCTTCGGGAATACCTTTGCTAGTTGCATCCCTCCCCTTTGGCCGTGCTGCCCAGCTCAGCCCAGCCAAGCGGGCATCTGGAAAGGATACAGTGCAAGTCACCCTCTTCACGAGGAGACGGCCTAGCTGTACCCCAGGTAGAACTCCTTCTCCAGTCGCAAGCCAGACCCAAGCACACCGCTCTGCACCGAGCCTGATGGTCTTCAGAAAAGTATCTTTCCTCCACCCCTGAGTCCTCAGAGCCCGCGTCCTGCAGGGCTTCTCAGGGGCTGGGAGTCAAGAGCCCCCCCATCCTTCGAGAGGGGAGCTCCATTCGAAAATCTCATCTCTGCTGCATCCTCCTTGGCTGATGAGCCCCGGGGCAAATCTCCTCGGAAACTGCCACGGACACTGTCAGTGTGGACCAAAGCGGGGGATAGGAGCTGAAAGCCCTACAAAGGTGGGGCCGTGGCTGACCTTCACTCCTTCCTATGTTTATGTAACGTGGCCGGGCACGATACAGCGAAGGCCCCGACAGACAGGCCCACTGCTTGGGGACCTTCCTTTCGGCATCTCTGGCCCAGCCCCGTGTCTGATGCCAGTATGGGCTGCTCAGTAGATATCTGTGGAGCTGGACTGCATTGAGCCTTAATCAAAGACTGGCTTTCCCTCGTGCCACACAGAGGTAGCTCAGGATTTCTTAACCTCGCCACTGTTGACATTTTGGGCCAGATCATTCTTTATTGTGGGGGCTGGCCTGTTCAGCAGCACCCTTGGCCTCTGCTCACCAGAAGCCAACAGCACTCCCCTCCCCAGGCGTGACTGCCAAAAATGTCTCTGGACGTTGCCAACTGCTGTCCCCCCTTGGGGGTGGGGCGCAGAATCACCATGGAGAAGCACCCATGGAGACGGTCTTGGCCTCCCCGAAGCAGTGGACTTAACCACAAGACCCCATCCCCCTTCACAGTCATCAGAGGGGTAGGAGTCTCTATAAAAACTTGAGAGGCAAGAGACAGAAAGAAAATTAATATATACTTTTTTTTTTGTAGTAGCAGCTTTATTGAAATGTAATGCACCTGCCATAAAATTCATCCTTATGTTTTCGAGTGTACAATTTGGTGCTTTCTCTACATTCCCCGAGTTGTCTAGCTATCCTTTGAGAACATGTTCATCTCCCCCAGAAAAAACCCCATACCTATTAGCATTCACTCCCCACTTTCCCCTCCCCCAGTCCCCAGTCAACGGAAATCTACTTTCCGTCTCTACGGATCTGCCTAATCTGGACATTTTCTGTAAATAGAATCCCATAACACGTGGTCTTTGGTGACTGGCTTCTTTCACTGAGCATGATGTTTTCAAGGCATTTATTAGTATATCGTTGCTTTTTCAGGCTGAATAAGGGGCGCCTGGGTGGCTCAGTCTGTGAAGCATCTGCCTTTGGCTCAGGTCATGATCCCGGGGTCCTGGGATCGAGTCCTGCATTGGGTTCCCTGCTCAGTGGGGAGTCTGCTCCTCCTTTTCACCCCTATTCGTGCTTGCGCTCTCTCTCTCTCAAATAAATAAATAAAATCTAAAAAAAAAAAAAAAAAAGGGAGAGTGAAAAAACCATTGTGTGAGTATTCCACATTTTGTTTATCCACTCATCAGTCGATGGACATCTGGGCTCTTCCCACCTTCTGGTGATTATTGGTGATGCTGCTAGGAACCTTCATAGACAGGTGTTGTGTAGACATGAGTTTTTATTTCTCTTGGGTCTCTACCTAGGAGTAGAATTGCTGGTCTGTAGGGTGACTGTATGTTTAACCTTTTGAGGGACTGCCCAACTCTTTACCAAAAGGCCTGCACCATTTTACCTTCCCAGCAGTAGTGAATGAAGACTCCCATTTCTCCACAGGCTTGCCAACACTTGGTATTATCCGACTTCTTGGTGATAGCTCTTTGAGTAGGTGTGAACGGATGTCTCATCGTGGTTTTGATTTCCATTTCCACGATGACTAATGATGCTGAGCTGCTTTTCATGTGCACCTTCTTTGGAGAAATGTCTTTTCTATCCTTCGTCCATTTTTATTTTTTTTTTATTTTTATTTTTTTAATTTTATTTATTTATTTGAGAGAGAGAGAATGAGAGACAGAGAGCACGAGAGGGAAGAGGGCAGAGGGAGAAGCAGACCCCCCGCTGAGCAGGGAGCCCGATGTGGGACTCGATCCCGGGACTCCAGGATCATGACCTGAGCCGAAGGCAGTCGCTTAACCAACTGAGCCACCCAGGCGCCCCTTCGTCCATTTTTAAATTGGGTTGTTTGTTGACTTTTATTGTTGAGTTGTGAGAGTTCTTTATGTATTCTGAATATAAGTCGCCTCTCAGACACACGATTTACAAATATTTTCTCCCATTCTTCATGGTTGCGTTGCATTTTCTGGATGATATCCTGGGATGCAGACAAGTTTTTAATTTTGCCAGAGTCCAGGATTTCTACTTTTTTCTTTGCTTGCTCGTGATTCTGGTGTCATATATATATTAAACCACTGTGAAACCTGAGGTCACAAAGATGTACTTCTATACTTTCTTCGAAGAGTTTACAGTTTCAGCTCTGATAATTAGCTCTGTGATGCACTTTGAGTGAATTTTTGCATCTGGTGTGAATGAAGGGTCCAACTTCATTCTTTTGCATGTGGCTATCCACTTGTCCCAGCACCATTTGAAACTGCTCTTTCCCCGTTGAGTGATCTTGGAACCCTTGTTGAAAATCAATTGACCATAGACGTATGAGTTTATTTCTGGGCTCTCAGTTCTATTCCATTGGCCTATATTTCTGTTATAACTTTCAAGCTCCCTGTTTCCTTACCATGGGAACATGGTAGGAAAGTGTCTTTGATAACCAGAGGAACGAAGGAAATCAAGATAGCTTGCGTGGATTTGTGGTGACAAATACAGAAAATATTTATAACATTTTGGAATTAGAAGGGATCTAATTGGAAGGGTCATGTTTGTTTAAGCCCTTTGTCTTGCTGATGGGGGAGAAAAGATCAGATTTCCATCTTAGAGGTTAGCAGAGCTGCCCAAAGTCGAACAGCTCATTTGGGATTAGGACCCAAATCTCTCAACCTTTCAGGGCGGTGCGTGCTTCTCATTCCCACACCCTGAATCTCAGGTCCCTGACCCGGACCCCGGGTCTGCCTGAACCTCCTTCGCCAACCTCGGGAGCTCCTGTGTTCTCCTTCACTGCTTGGTCCACCCCAGTGTCTGTTCCTCCCTTTTCAGCCGGAGAGACGAGAATGCCAGCCAGGGGAAAGCGTTTGGAACATCTGAAATTGCTATATAAATGCCAGTAAATGATAAGATTGCCAGGTTGATGCTCTTCTCCTCGGTTGGTTCAGCATGTCAGAGTCAGCGTAATGGAAGGCAACAATTCACTCTCAGACACGCTTTTAGACTGCGAGGGGGCAGGGTGCCGGGCGCCGGAGTCCCAGTGTGAATGAAGCGGGGGGAGGGGTGGGCCAGGCTGGTGGGGGGGGCGGGGAGGCCTGGGGGCATGGCACCTTGCCCACATCTTAGGGACGCCCCAAGTAGATGGAAGAGTCCCTGCCTAGCTTGTACAAAACAGGGGTGCACTCAGAACTTGGGACCTGGCCCTACGGTGGCCTTCCTTCTCTGGGTGGCGGGGTCTCTTGTAGCTTGTCCACACTCGCCTTCGCCACCTCCGACCATCCCTGCCTGTCTCTGTCCTTTCCACGAACGGTGGTCACACACTCACAGGTCACACAGCATCCCCCACCGAGCGAGTCCTGTTTGAAACCCTTGCTTCAGTTTATTAACTCAGAAACCACGTACTGATTTCGCCCAAACTGTGAGCCCTTAGGTGGTGGGAACTGTGTCCTGTTTACCTTTGGCTCTGCGGTGACGCATGCACACTGGGTCCTCAGTAAATGCACGTTTGGTGGTTGAAGGGACGTGTTGAGTGAATACAAGTAGCTCAGAGTTGGGGTAGCTGGGTCTCTTGCAGGGGGGCGTGGCGCTCCCGCCGCAGCAGCATCTCCATGCATCCCTGTTTCTTCCTGTCCATGTTTGTGCATTTTCCTCTCCATGTTTGTGCATTTTGTCGCCTCCTCTAAGCTCCAGCTGTGGTCACGGTCCGCACCGTCCATGTGGTCGGTGTTTACCTTGTTGTCTGTATGCCCTGTCTTTGCAGTTACATCACACCTTTCATTCATTCTTTGTTTTTATTTATTTATTTATTTTATTTATTTATTTATTTATTTATTTATTTGAGAGAGAGAGAGAGTGAGCACAAGGTAGGGGGAGGGACAGAAGCAGACTCCCCGCTGAGCAGGGAGCCCCATGCGGGGCTCGATCCCGGGACCCTGGGATCATGACCTGAGCCGAAGGCAGACGCTTCACCGACTGAGCCACCCAGGCAGAGAGCTGGGTCCCCAGTATACAGTACGTGCTACCCGGTGGGTGTTTCTCAAAGGGGCGATTGTGCCCATGTTACGAGTAACCTGCTGCTGGAATCGAGGCTACAGATGTCCTGCGGGGGTGTCCTGCTGGCTGGCTCTGCACGCATCTGCCAAGCATAGGGGGGTGTTTGGGTAGCCAGTATTTTGAAAGGGCTCAGGTGACATACATTGAAGACAGAAACCATAATCACTGCCCTTTAATGCCTGTACCCCCAGGCATGGCCTCCTCTACCCTGCATCCTCCCCCACCCCCCACCCCAGGACCAGTACCCAATGTAGCTGTGGCGCCTGAGAGCAAAATACCGTGTGTGCGTCTCCTCCGTAGCTCTGTCCATCAAAGGGCCCACGGAAGTAAGCCAGCTCCCTCTGTGGTTGTGTCCACCTGCTCAGTGAATCTCACCGTGTGATCTCCTCCTTGTTTAGGGCTCTGGCCGACATCTTAAGACAACAGGGACCAATCCCCATAGCACACTGTGAAAGAGAAACTATCTCGGCTATCAATACCTCTCCCAAAGAGAACACACCGGTCAGATCGTCCTCCAAGAACCACTACACCCCCGTGCGCACGGCCAAGCCGACTCCAGGTAAGTGAGCGCTGATCGCCTTGCCTTGCGTCTTTGCTGGGGTGGGGGTGGGGGCGTTGGTGCGAGGTGTTGGTGATGCTTCACTCCAGTGGGGCAGGTGGTGCTCCACGGTGCTGGGGGAAGACTCTACTGGGCAGGCCGGGGAGTGTGGACGAGCCTGGGGACCGTCTCCTGGGGAGGGCCATTGGCTGTCCTGGCTGGAGGATAGCGGACGATTCAGGGCACACGTGATTGAGTCAGTGGTTGGCGTACTCTCTTACCTGATAGGAGGCTTGTGGCGGGCGTGGTGGAGTGTGGTCCCCCACTTGCCCACTGGATGGGATGGTTTAGGTTGCCCAGGACGCCAGATACGTAATGAGAAATTGCCATAGTCAGTCCCAACTGTTGGAATGTACTTCCTGAGAGTAGGGATTATGTCTGTATTATAGGGTGACCTTGTCCTGTGCTCTGTAGATTCCCCCAAATACATGATGAGTTGCCATGTTCTAGCAGTCATCACGATAACCCCACAAAGGAAATGAAGCAGGGTGTATTTTTCTTGCCGTATGGATCAATAAATGAAGCTCAGTGAAATTTAGCGACTTGGGCAAGATCACTGAGATGTTAATGGTCATAAAAACATCAGCGATACAGTAATATAACTCCCATTTATTTGGGTCTTGCTCTGCGTCAAGTGATATGCTGAGCATTTTACATGTATTTCCTTACTTATCCTTCACAGCAATCTTAAAAGGGCTTATATTGTCCCCATTTCATAAGAGGAACAGGAAAGTTCAGCAGTTTTTCCCAAGGACACATGGGGAGGAGGAAAGCCAGGCTCCAGACCCAGACATAGAGGTTGCAACAGTCAGGACTCAAAAATCCTAACATCCTAAACCAGTTGGGGACATGAACCCAAAGGGTCTGAGTGGATAGTCTCCTTCCAAGTGCAACTTGGATCTGAAAGCTTGACATCCGTCACCCTAACGCCTTTTGGAGGATGGGGCTGTAGGGGTCTGAACTTTACCTGCTGGAAGGATGCGCGGTCAGTTGCTTGGTGCCAGGAGGTATGGCCCAAATTCAAAAGTGTAGTGAACATGCTGCCAAGATCAGATTTCTTTTCCATTCATTCTTGAACTTGCTTCAATTTATTAAATCAGAAACCACGTACTTGCCTTTCAGGTAATCTGCTGAAACCTTTTGAGGATCTGATAGAAGGGAAGGACATTCATCTTCAAAAATATGTACCTCGACATAAACACGTGTATCCATCCAACATTTTTAATATGATAGAAGGGGATTCGCGAACCCTTCCAGAGTTAGAAATCCCTGATTTAAAAGTAAAGACGAGAGGTCTAAGATGCACTTTTAGCCTTACTATTATAGATGCTTAAGATGTAAGCAATGGAAGGAGTCTTGGCAAAAACACCCAGACCGTGAGTCATCTATCTAGCTGCACATCAGGATCACCTAGGAGCTCTTGAAAATGCTGATGCCTAGGCCCTACACATTAACCCGAATTTCCAGGAATGCTGCTGGCATCATGGCTTGTGAAAACCTTCCCAAGGTGATTCTAACCCTCAGACAAGGTGAAGAACCATTGGTCCAGATGGATTCCTCATTTTATGAGTAAAGACCCTATAAGCTATGCTGGTGGTTCTCAAACTTGGCTGCACGTTGGAATCACCCCGGGGGAGCTTTCAGAATGAGGGATACCTGAGTCTCGCACCCAGAGAGTGTGATTTAATGGATGCGGGAGTGTGGCCCGAGCATGAGGCGGGGAGGTGGGTGCTGAAACCTTCCCAGCTGATTCCATTGTGGAGCAAAGTTTGAGGATCGCCGGGTGGTGGAAAATGGCCTAAAGGTACCATTCTAACCAATCCTTATTTTCGTCGATGGCTGTTTAATCCAACCTTGGTGTTATGATTAAGGTTGAGGAGGGTATTTTTGTTTTCCTAAAGACTCATGGTTTGAAGTCAGGCTTCCCTGGAACCTCATCTGCGATCTTGGAACTTCAGGTCACCCTGGTGTCCAGTGCGCCCCTGGGAGTTTACCCCGACCCCACTCTGCTCTGATTTCCTCTGTCTCATTCACCAGCCTGCTTGCTCCCAGCTGCTGAATCCAGGCTGATTAAGTGGACAGTCCCGATTGGCTCTTAAATACATTTCTGGGCAGGAAGCTTTATCATTTATTCTGGTCTTGGTGTATATCCTCTCTCGGTAATCCGAGAAGGAAAACTTACAGTTCCGTGATTCACTTCCATGCTTGTTTGGAGAAATCCCACCCTGTATTTCTCCATCGGGGACTCTTCACTTTGTCTTTCGAGAGGGGCCTGGTTTCCCTGGTCCAGAGAGTGCTCTCAGTAGCAGTGACACTTAAATTTAAAAGCAATTTCATAACCCTCAGACTCCTACAGCCTCTCCTGGGCTCAACGGCTTTTCCATGCAGCTGCTGATATCCTTTGGCACAAAATGTTGCAATTGGAGCAGGAGTTTCAACAGAACTTTCCCTAGGTGTCCAAAGGGGATATTCATTGTGATTTTTGTCACCCCTCGAATCAACGAACCACTGGTCGGAAGGGTATGGTGGCAGAAATACCGGGAGGCATCACAGAATGAGTCGTTCTGCTACTCAAAGTGAGGTCCGTGGACCGCCTGCATCAGCATTCCCAGGGGGTTCGTGAGAGATGCGGTGTCTCAGGCTCCAGCTCACCCTGCCGAAGGAGAGCCTGCATTTTTAAAAAAAGATTTTATTTATTTATTTGAGAGAGAGAAAGAGCACAGAGGGAGAGTGAGAGGGAGAAGCAGGTCCCCGCAGAGCAGGGGGCCCGACCAGGACCCTGGGACCATGACCTGAGCCCAAGGCAGACGCTTCACCGACTGAACCACACAGGCACCCGAGAACCTGCATTTTAGTGAAATCACTTAGCAAGGGAAGTTAGAGAAGCGTTGGAGAAGCCTGGGCTTTGAAGTACAATCCCCTGTCTGTTTTCTGGCCCTGTGACTTACTCCGTATATGACCTTGGCAGGCCGCTTGGTCTGAGTATCCTTGTCTGCCCTTGAGGCTAATAGTATCTGCTTCCCCGAGTTGTTTTACGGATATAATGAGTTAAACCGACTAGAAGACTTAAAACTGGTCCTGACGCATAGCACATGCTCCCTGTGAGCTGTGACCGGACTACAGAAGTATATCCACGGCTCACGGCAAGTTAGTTAAAAAAAAAAAAAAGAGGGAAAACCAAAGGCATTGGTATTCTTAGACAAGGCAGGGTCGGCGGGGTTGTGTCCGAGATGAAAGCCCCTGGACCCAGGCGTTCCTGTGCTTGGCCCTCACCCACAGGGCATCTTCTGAGGGCGAAAGTGGTTTGTTGGGTTTTGTAGGGCTCCATCCAGTTTTTGGATGCCCAAAGTACATGCCTGGTTAGATTAGGAAATGGGGTGAGTCCTGTCTTAATAATAATAATACAGAGAGAACACGAGTAGCAAAAGTACCATTTGTTGAGCACCTACTCTGCGCTGGGTCCTCTGTTAAACACTTTATTTAAATTTTTATTTTATTTTATTTTATTTTAAATATTTCATTTTTAAGTAATCTCTACACCCAGTGTGGGGCTCGAACTTAAACCTCAGAGATCAAGACTCGCGTGCTCTACCGACCGAGCCAACCGGGCGCCCCTAGGGTTTGATTTTAATTCCAGGAGACACTTTATTATACAGATGGACCCTGTAAGTTTTCTTAGGTATAGGAGCTCCTATCCCCATGTTAGAAAATTCCTCTTTCCTTCTGGAAGAGCCTTTTAGCTAACGCTTCCAGAAGTCCCTTCTCTACTTTAAAGGGAGATGCGTGATGGACAGTGTGGTCCATGCACCAGCTGTCACTGCATCCCCACGGGAATTGGTTAGCAATGCAGAACCTTGGGCCCTTTCCCAGAAGTACTGAGTCAGAATCTGCTCTTTAACATGATCTTCAGATGATGCATAAGCTCATTCAGGTGGAAGAAGCTCCCTTTAGCGTAGGGAGCCTCAGCCCTGGCTGCACAATGGACTCGTGTACACAGTTCTGAAACTACTCATGCTTGGCCCTCACCCCCAAAGATTCTGCATTAATTGGTCAGGAGTGGTACCTGGACATTGGTATTTTTCAAGAGCTTCCCATGTGGTCGGTTCTCATGTTCAGCAAACTTTGAGAACCGGAGCTGAGAGGGAGACTGGCAAGTGAGGGAAACATCTTGAGGGCTGTGGAGCGTGAGTGCACCTCAAGACCCAGCAGCTCGAGCCCGGCTGGCCCAGGTTAGCGGGCTGCAGAGACATGTCCTCCCCACAGTAGGCGGGGCAGAAGGAGTGGAGGACGCAGGTGCGCCGAGGGGGAGGGACCAGTCTGCAGCTCTGACGGGGTCACTGTGCAGCAGTGGGGATGAGCAGAAATACCAGAATGGATCAGAGAGTCGGGTAGAGCCAGGCATCGGGAAATGCACCAGGATCTGGAGCTGCAAGTCCCTAGAGGCTTGTAGGGGGTGGGGTGGGGGGTGGGCTTGCTTGGTCTTCAAGGGTGGGTAAGAATGGAGACTTAGCATCTGCCTGGCCTGACTCAGCCCTAAAGAGCCTGGCCGGGGGCCACTGGGGGACAGCGGGGTACCTGTCCCTCCCAGTAGCAGGTGACACCACGTGTTGGGGGTCCAAACTTTTGATACCCAGCTCCCCCCGTTATCAAGAGTGGCCTCAGCTGGAGGAAATAAATATTTATGTCCCGGCCACACACCACTGTGAGTTGTATAAATGAGCAATCAGTCATCCTGCCTCTTGTCAAAGCTGTGTGTTATAATGGCAGACGAAGGGAGCCAAGGGACGTGACTGTTTAAGCTTTGTGGAGACTGGGAATGAAGCATGGGCAGCTGACAGAGGGGCGCTTTGTCACAGCTCCGCGTGGCCGGGCCCCTCGCTGCTCCTGCCACCTTCCGTGTCTCTTGCTGGAATCCAGACCCTGTCCCTCCTCATGTCCAGTCCATGCCTGCCTTGGGGTCT